CCTTGTGGTTAACTAACATATTCAATATCTGTTAGAATGTCAACCCGTTTTTGTTTTGTTTCTGGAGTATAAAATAGTTTTCTTCTAAAAAAGGATCAATATAGGTAGAGTTCCAGCAACTTTCCCAAAACAAAAAGCAAACAAACAAAAACAGAACTTCACAACACTGAGTGGTTAATCAGTCCTTTTGCTGTAGTATTTATTTTTTTATTTTTTGGTATTTATTTTTAATTGAGGTAAAATTTACATTAATGTCATGGACAGGCCTTAAATGTACAATTCAACAAGTTTGGATAAATGTCTGCACTCTCATGATCTTCACCACTTCCGTCACCCCAGAAAATTTCCTTGTGCCCCTTCTAGCCAATCCTCCCACCACAGGCCAAAGCAACCACAGTGTTGATTTTTACAATGAAGTCACACAATATGTTCGTTAGTATCTGACTTCTTTCCCACTACATAATGTTTTTGAGATTCACCTACATTTTTGCATGTTATCAACAATTTTTTTATTGAATCAATCGTTTTTTTAAATTGTGGAGTAGTATTCCATTGCATGCATCAGCCACAATCTGCTTATATATTTTTCTGTTGATTGATATTCTAGCGTTTTCCCCATTTTTGGCTACTGTGAATAAAAGTGCCTGTAAACACAGAATCCTGTTCTGCTGGATAAATGCAATCATACCTAACCTTAAACTTAAGACAGCTTTCTGCCTAAATCAAGAGCTGAGAGACCAGACTGAAGTAGTATCTGCTTTCACATTAAGCGAGCAAAAAGAGCCTCTGCTACAGAGACCTGGCTGATGACGTGAGACCCACCTCAACTGGCCCATATCTGTGGCATATGACACTCTCTGGAGTGACCATACCTCATGACAAGAGACTCTGGCTAGAACATTTCAAACAGGCAATGTTTAGGAGCAGTGGTAATAAAGCTCATTCATCTCTGTTCTGACTCTAATCTGGTGTCAGATTGCTTCTATTACACACGAAAATACAGTATTTAAAAAAAATCACACATATTGTTGTTATGTGATTTTGATTTACTCATCCTTAAGGTCTCCTCACATAGACCTAACCCAATCAATGAACAGCCACGTGCCAGTTATGTAACTTTGGGCACATCATTCGCCTCTAAAGCCCTAATTTCCCAATCTGTAAAACGGAATAATTATAGCATCTATCTTATGGTTATTATGAAGATCAAATTAAATCACCTATATCAAGTATACACAGTGCCTAACACATGTAAGTACCCAACTCCTAGCTATAACAGGTTGAGTATCCCTAATCCAAAATCCAAAACTTTTTGAACACCAATATGACGCTCAAAAGAAATGCTCATGGGAACATTTCAGATTAGGGATGCTGAACTGGTATAATGTAAATATTCCAAAATCTAAATAAATCTGAAATCTGAAACATTTCTGGTGCCAAGCATTTTGGATAAGGAATACTCAACTTGTATTAATAAAATTATTATTTCCAAAACTATTTAGAGAGTATAGCCACAGACTTCCTTTTTCCATCTCCATATCAAGATGAAGAGCAGTTTCCAAAAATGAGTTTGTTTCACAATAAATTAGTTCAATAGGTATTATGTAAACCAAAAAGTTCCATAGCCAAGCAAGTTTTGGTTAAAAAATTTTTTAAACTGCAAAACACTGCTTTATGCCAATGTACACTATGACTCCTCCTAAAAGTGAGATCTGGTATACAGCATTTCCAAAGTGATTTGACCACGAAATTTACTCCTATCCTATGAAGAAGATCATGTGACTCTGGGGCTCTAAGAAATACACTTTGAGAAAGGCCAGTAAAAACAATGCTGACTATACACACAAAAAAAGCAGCATCCTCAGGAGGATGATATATGCTCTTTCCCAACTCATTCAGTTAAATGCTACCCATCCTTTAGATTTCAGGAGAGCCTTCCTTAACACTCAAAATTAATCAAGACTTCCTGCCAGATACTCACAGGGCTTCCTAGACTTTTTTTTCCATATCTCTTATTGCCATTGCTATTAACATACTGAAAATATTATTTGATTAATGCGTGTCACCTCTCCCACCAAACTGTAAGCTTCAGTTAAGGCTGTGACTGTATATTTTGCTCAACCCTAACCTCGAGTATCTAACAGTGTTTGGTACCGATAATAGTTGTGGAATAAATATGTGAATACAAGAATTTCACGGCAGCCTTTTTGGCATCGTGAAAAACTGAAAACAACTCAAATGTTTACTAACAGGAAAGTAATTAAATAAATTACTCTACATTATATTATATAGCCATTAAAAAGAATTAGCTTAATCTCTATGTTTTGACACACTCACTTTACTGAATGAGAAGGAAAAAATGTATTTTATTACATATGCACTGTATCTAGAAATAGATATCTAGAAACATATTCATCAAACTGTTAACAATGACCACATTTGAACAGTACTAGGACTGGGAATGGCGACTTTCACTTTTATACAGTACTTTATACACTTCTGTATTGTTTTAATATTCTTCAACAAGTATGAATTTCTTTCCTAATTAATTTTTTTAGGCTTTGATCAACTGCAGGTCCACATATATTATCACATCCTTTATTCTTAGTTCACATTTGTATCCCTATTTTTTAAAACTATTTTTGTAATGATCCCTACAGCAATCCTGAGAGGAAAGTAAGACAAAAGATAGCATTAACCCAGTAGGGTAGATTGAAAGCTATAGGTAAGTTGCCTGACATCACAAAGGAAAAACGACAGAACCAGGGCTAAAATATGACTCTTTTAGTCCAATGTTCTTTTCATTACACATCACTGCTTTTCCAGTAAGGGAAACAAGGCTGCTTTGACAGAATCAACATTTTACTACAAAATGACTATAAAAGATTCAAACCTATTCCCACATTCATCTCTCCCAAAACCTAAAGTCATTGGAGGGCATTGCTGATCAACAGGGACCTCTTTTAAATAACCCAGTGAAGGGAAGGTTAACGAAATCCTAGTGCGCCCTCCTTCACTGTTAGACAATTCCCTCATATTGAGCTGAAACTCATCTTTGTTACTTTGACCCTCTTGGTCCAAGTTTGGCCATTTGGAAAGCCACAAGACAAGCTTCTCTCCTCTTGTAGAATACATTAAAGTACATGAAGACAGCTACCATCCGCGTCCTTTTGAGAATGGGTGCTTTACCTAAATAAACTTCCCCCCCAAAATCGAAGACAGCTATCATCCGCGTCCTTTTGAGAATGGGTGCTTTACCTAAATAAACTTCCCCCCCAAAATCTGTCATTATCCAACTTCTAATTGCAATGAAGTCCTAACAAACTGCTTGGCAGGGGAGAAAGGGAAACTATCATGCAAAACCCCTACCACATAATGAAGTACAAGTAGTCCACAGTTACTACCATCCTTTAAGGGGAGTTACAGAGAACCAGGCATTTCTTACCACTCCTTTGTTAGATGCCACAGAATAACACAGCTTTCAAGTGCAAAGAATAGGCACAAAGATGGGGATGGGGTCTAGAAAATGCACAATGAAATATACAAGTATAAGAAGTCTAGCAATAGCTATACTGTAATTAAATACTTACTAAAACTGCTTTATGAAAACAATCAGAATTAAATGTCCAAAATCTTATGTCTTCCCTTCACCAACATTTATCACAATTTGTAGTTATACCTCTCTGTTTATTTATTGTCCATATCATCCAGAAAACCATAAGCTTCATGAAGGCAGAGTCAACTATTTGAACACAGGATACCAAGAAGCATAAGGTCTTGCACATGGAAGGTGCTTATTAAATATTTGTAGAGTAAGTGAATAAAGAGAAAGGAAAAGAAAGCAGACCACAGGTTACCTTAAACGGACTATTTTGCTTTCTTCATTAATATTGGGAAATTAATCATTTGTTGAATACCTATTATGATCCAGACCTAAGGCTCAAAGAAATTAAATATTAAATAACTCACTCAAGCCACACACCTAGTAAATTTGATCTTCAGTTTATCCGCTGTAATGCTAGCCCCCAAATATGCCCTTGTCCTCAATTATCTCCTCTCCATACAGCTATTGGGGCAGGGAGAGATATCCACAGCAAAATTAGTAGTTGTATACAACCCAAGTCCTCTGGCTAGCCATACAATTCTGAATCTTCCCGCAGTTTACAGAAATCCTGCTGAAGAAGTAAACGACTTATAAATAGCAAAACAAACATTTTAAGAATGGAAAAACACCACATATACCCACTATTAAATTGGAACTAACCGATGAGCACACATGTGCACAGAGGGAGGTAAAACTCAGTGGAGATCAACCAGGGAGGAGAGGTGAGGAGGACAGGGACAAAACCTACCTAATGGGTACAATGAACACTATTTGGGTGATGGGCACACCTATAGCCTGGACTCAAACACTACAAAAGTGAAACCTAAAACATTTGTACTCCCTTAATATTTTGAAACAAACAAAAAAACATTTTTACATTAACCAAATAATTTGATCTCCAAAACAATCTTACAAAAGAGACAAATTCCCATTATGTTGGTGAGGACACTTAGGCTAAGAGCGCTTTATTATTCACACTTTCCCTACAAACCTATGGGCTTGGGGTTTTCCCCCAAAAAAAGACAGTGGCTGCATAAACTTGGTATAAAATTTGAAAGAGACACTCGTGTCATAATGCTCGTTTTCCTATTACTAATACGTGATCCAGATGGGAGAGTTCAACGACTCAGTTTCCCCATTTGCACCTTAGGTTTGATGAGGGTTCCGTTCATTCTTTGTGAAGTGTGTTGACCATCAAATATATTTACGAGGAGACAACATATTCAGGTCAAAGAAAGGGCGTGGGAATAACATTTTAGAGAGTTGCACTGCAGCCAAGACTAACTCTGGGCTGCGGTCCACACTCGCCCTCGCCAGCTCCTCTCATTTCCTCTCTCCCCCTCCAAAGAATCATTCCTTCCTGAAGTCAGAGACAGTGCAACAGGCAAGTTCCTACCTTGGTCTGAATACTCTTATCAAACTTGTCATTTTTGAAGCTAAACGTATTCTGGTGCTTCTGAGGCCTGGAACGAGCCACGTTGCCTTTCTGGGAACTCATAGCCAAAACCACAGCCCCCCCCGCGCCGGGTGCAGGGAAAAATACGCTAGGAAAAGCAACAAATTACCCCGAAATGTTGCCGCTTTTGTCAATGACCCGGAAGGAACTTATCCAGCCTGTTCGTCCCCGCCCCCGGCCAGCCCACGTGACTCCTCTGGAAGGTCAAAGGACACCCTCCTGCCTTCCCTGCACTTCGCCCAGGCTACTCCACGCGGCCCGGTCTCGACCCCTCCCCCTCCGCTCAGCCTCTTTCTCAAACCTGGCAAACAAGCCCCGCTTTCTTCGAAATGAGAATTCCCCCATTGGTCCGAACACGACAGTCCATCAAGGCGGAGGGGCGGGGAACCTTTGATCCTATTGGCTCTTGTTTTCCGCAATCCCCGCCTCCTGACGAATCAGCTCAGCCTCTCCCGGAGCCCGGAGCGCTGGGGACTCCGCTGGGCGGCTTGTGGTTGGTGGAAATCGGGCGAGGCTGGGCTCCGTCCCTCCCCCGCCCGCTCGCAGGCTGGAGCCCGGGTCAGCGTTGGCACCTTCCTCCAGTCAGTGACCAACTCCTGGCATAGTGAGAACTCTGCTCGCCTCCTCGGTTTCCCTCCGGTATCCATCCCGCTACGGGAGTGAATCCCGCGTCTGGCCGGCTGAGGAGGAGCAAAGAAAAGAGGATTAAAAGGAAGAAAGACTTGGCTGGGTCTGGGTGGTGTCTGCAGTGCCAGAAAGGGAGGCGGCGGAGGCGTCTGCTGCGACCACGGCCGCGCGGGACGTGAGGCCCGAGAGCAGCCGAAGGCGGCGGCAGCCGCTCCAGCGCCTTGTGCCGGGGCCGTTAGTCAGCAGAACGCGAGCTCGTGTGGAGGAGCAGGGCCGGCGCGAGGCGAGACTCGAGAGTGCGAGCCGGGCCCACTCGGGCGCCGCCGTCCTTCTTCGCCCGGGCGTTGGGGGCTGCAGCGCTCGTCCCCCTTCCCGGGCTGGGCCGGTCCGCAGGCGAGGAGAATCCGGCGGCGGGAGCGCGGGTCGCGCCTTGTGGAGGACAGCGCGCCGGCAGAGGCTTTCTCCTCACCCTTTCTGCTGGGCGCCTCAGGCTGGGCCACTCAGGTGCAGGTGCGTGGGGCCTCGCGGGCCGGGGGCGCCGCGGCCGGGCTGGGGAAGGGGGCGCTAGGCCCCGAGCCGCAGCGCGGGAGGGAAGAGCCCCGGCCGGGCGGGGGGAGGGGAGCGGGAGTCGTCTTTGTTGGTGGTGACCAGGATCCGTGTCCGCGCAAAGGAGAGGCAGAGGAGCCGCTTGCGATCGGGTCTGTATTTCTGAGAGGACTCTCTGGTGGTTCGGTGAAGGGGGAGTCCCTGCGGTCCGTGAGGCTGCGGGGTCTGGGGGCGGGGACAGTCGGACCCACGGACACAGTGGAAAGGTATTTGGTGCTCCTCGCAGGGAAGGGTCCCTTTTCACTTCCTTTGATTTTTCTCCCATTGGACGGAAAGGTGGGTGGTCAGGTTCTCATTCCCCTGTGGCTTACTGTGAGATTCACGGATGCCTAAAAGCTTTCTCCTGAATGTCCTTATCTCTGCCAGCCTCGATTTTAGATTGAATCTTTACCGATCTTGGTGATTTTGCATTCCGATCGGGCTGTCTTAGGCTTCTTTTTCTTTAAATGGTTGAACTTTAATCCTGTCTGTTTTCAACTCTAAGGTAGGCTCATCAGGAATCTTTTTTGAATTGGAAAATTAGAGGCTCTCTTTGGAATTGTATGTAACCCCGAAAGAAGAAAGTTGTGTCAAATTAGATTGTACTGTGTGGGGGCTTTCGTAAAGGAGAAAGACTTTGTTTAACCTTGGCTTTTTTTTTTTTTTTTAATGTTCAGATCTTTGATCCATGGTGAGAATTCTGCCAAGGCCAGAACAGTGTTTTTTTTTTTTTTTAGATGATGCTTTAAGTCAGTGCGAGGTAGATTTGGTAAGCAAAAGAATGAATAACGGGATAGAGAGAGGGTGACCTTTAGATTTTGGCTGTTCACAAAAGGTGTTCCTATTTAATACATTTTGTAATATATAATGTTTGCGCCGTAAGATGATTTATTGATTTTTTCAAGCCACCAATAAATAAAAAGAATTTTGGAGATCTTGTGTTAACATTCAAAACTACCTAATGAGTCTGAGTAGAAAGTCATGTTGTAATAACATTCATCTGATTACGTTAACAGGGAAATTTACAATAAAATGAACTTTTCTCCGTAAAGAGTTTCTCTTCATATGTTTATAACATGAACTCAGTTGAGTGATACATCTAATCATACCGAATACTTTGAAAATTATCATGATAGCCCGTGTTCTAATTTGGTGCTGCCCAACTCCTTGCTTGTTGGTAAATTTTTACTTGGGGAGTAGGGGTAATGGCATTACTTAAAGAACAGCAGAAGTGATCATTTTTTAACTTATAAAAGACAGATCCCCTACCCGGTAACATAAAAGAATAAAACTAAAAAAATTTCTGTGCAATAATGGCTATATTGTATGAAATTCAAGAGGAAATAAATAGCACCCTCACCCATATTTTGACCTCTCTTTTCTCCTACTCTAGTATTAATAAGGTTAATTGGCAAGGATAGGATTAAATTTTTAGCAGGCTAGGCAGTTTTAATTTTGTCCCTTGGTGTGCAGTACTCTAGTTGATTAGTGGCTTGTTTCCTTGAGTCTCCTTGCCCCTTTTGAAATGTTTATTAAATGACAGCTGACAAAAAATTTTCTATTTCCAGGGACAAACACAATCACCATAAAGCATCATGGTAAAATAATATTTTTCGTAGCTTAATGAACACAGAAAAACTAGGCAATTAGTGTCTGTTCCAAGTTCTGTCACTGAATTGGTCTACAACTCCAGGCATGCTGTCGCACATCTGAGTCAGTTTGTCCTTCTGTAATATAGGGCTAATAAAATGTACCACCTGCTCACTTTATAGAAAGGGCAGTGAGAACCATACAAGCAACAGTTACTCTGGTTGTGTGACATTGATTTATTTAAATAAGAATACTCTTTAATGCAATGCTCTTTTTTTTGTTTTGATATCATGAATTTCAATTCTTTGGTGAAAAATTAGCATAAAGAACATAGTTACGATAGGGAGAATACCTGTTCATATGCCATCATTTAGGAATTGATAAAATTTCTTCCATGTTAAGTTTGATGTTACATCTTTAGACTCAGTGATGACAAGAAAATAGTTTATGGAATTGCGTGGTTTATTTACTGGTAGATCTTATTCCTAATCTATTCAAGGTTTCGCTCTTAATTCTCAAAACTACTCTTACCTTTCCTACCCTGTTAAAAATTTCTCACATACATTACCCCATTTGCCTGCCAAATACAGCCTTGTGAGCTGGAGAGGATGAGTGATTTTATGGCATTTTTACACATGAAATAAAGCTCAGAGAAGTTAATTATGTGAATTGCCTAAAGCTAAACAATTAATAAGAAGCAGAAGTGAGGCTTAAACCTGTATCTTCTGATTTCTAGTCCTGAATCCTTTGCTTTGAAGTAGTGTTTTTCAAGCACCTGTCTGTGCCCAACAGTTTTGTCACTCCAGGTGAAATGAGAAATAATACAGCAATATAAATATTGGCGACATACAGTATATAATGAATATCCACGAACCCATCATCCAGTTGAAGAAATAAAACAACAAATCACAATGAACTTTCCTTTAACTTATACGCCTCTTAAATCTTGTTTTCTAGGTTCTCCATTCCCAGTGAGTAACCCAAAATTGACATGCATTCTTCCTATGTCCGTGTGTTCGTTCATACTTAACTACATACCTTTATATCCATGAATATAATATTTTGTTTTGATTGTTTTAAGACTATTTAAATATGTTCATATCTTTCTGTAGCCTGCTTTCCTCATTCAACTTGACCAAGTTTTATCTGTTTATTTAGATAAACATAGATTTATTTTTGCTGCTGTATGGTATGCGCTCCATTATGTAATTATATCACATTTCTGTTAATGGTCATTTTAGTTATTTCCAATTGTTTGCTATTAAATGGTGCTGTAAGGAATTTTCTTATATGTGTTACTAAAATGTAAGAATTTATAATAAAGTAATATGTATTTCACTGTTTAAGTGCTTGAGCTCAAAACTACACTCAAGTCTTGCTACCAAGACTTGCCAGCAGCATCAGAATCACTTGGGAGCTTGTTAGAAATGCTGGACCTCAGGCCTTATCCCACTAACTCAGATGCTGTAGTTTAACAAGATTCCCAGGTCATTGATGTACGCATTAAAATCTAAGAAACACTACTGGAAGAAATAGTTGTAGACGCTTTGCACCTATGGGTGGTATTACCATCAATACAATAGCTACAGACTGACACAGGTATGTTGAATTGGCCATTCAGATACCAGTAGTGGCACTGTTGGTGAAAAGTGATTTTCCGAAATAACAAACTATTCTTAGTAAAGTTTAGACAAATATAAATGTTCAATCGTCCCTGTTTACCTAAGGTTGCATTCTTATAAGTCATCATCTGTGCTAAAACAATACAGATAGACTTTACTGTTTAGAAGTATCTGACCTTGGTGATTTTTTTTTCCGTCTTCTTATTCCTCTATATGAATGTCCAGCAGAATATTTAAAAGTCATGGGAGATGGAGCAACATTATCTTTATTCAGGAAGAGTGCCTGGCATTCCTGGCCTCTAGTACCGCCTCTCATTCATTATAACAACCAAAAAGCTGCAGTTGAGAAAAATTGCCCTGAATTGTAAATCTGGTAGTAGATTGCTAGACCATAGGGTGGGAGCTTATTTAGCTTTATTAGATAACTGCCAATTTTCTCTACAAAGTGTACCAGTAATGGATGAAAGGGTCTGTTTTTCTACCTTCCAGATATTTTAGACTTCTTAATTTTTGCCATTCTGGGGAGTATGAAATGGTGCCTCATTGTAGTTTTTATTTGCATCTCCCCAGAGAATACTTTCATTTATTTATTGGCTTTCATATTCTTTTTCTATGAATTGCCTGCTGAGTTTTTCTATGGGATTATCTTGTTCTTACTGACGTGTAAACAATTATGTATTGTTTATGACAATACTTGGTAGACTTTGAAAATGTCTTCCTCTAGCCTTTAGCATGCTTCTTCACTTCAAATATGGTATCTTTTAGTCACTAGAAGGTTTTGATTTTAATGTCACATTTATCATTCTTTATGATCTATGCTTTTTCTTTTTAAAGAAAGCCTTCTCTATGCTGGGGTTATAAAGATTCTTTTAGAGCATCTTCTTAAAGTATTACTTTAACATTTAGATGTTAAATTCACATGGAAGTATTTTTATATAATAATGTACTCGTGAATCTAAATTTACTCAATAAAAATAACTATCCTTTACACTAAATTATGTCTTTTTTAATGTTAAAATATTCTGATGAAATTACAGTGATAGTAATTGTATTTAGTTCTTAATCTCATTGTAGCAAAATTAAAATTTGACAACTCTGTCATTTCAACTCTTCTTTTTTAATTTAACTGGTTTTTGAAATTCGTGAGTTTTGGGAACCACTGCTTTAGAGTACTCTGATACTTAGGTTTCATCTGTGTCTCATATTCAGCCTTTAAAGCATCATAGAATGTAAGCAGGCACTCTTAAATACTAATCCTTGATCATCATCTGCATCTTACACATTTCCTAGTTTGTTTTACATGTCTTTTCATCACTTTTTATTATGGCTAGGATTTTTTAAGTAATAACAGAATTTCAGACTAAATTTAAATAATATTTGAATGTATGGAATAAAAATAATAGAGAATTGCTAGGGGGTCAAAAGAGGTAGTTTGACCTATTAAATATGGTGGTAGTAGGCAGGCCTTATTGAGTAGGCAAGAATAAGCAGAGATATGTAGTCAGCGAGGGTATTAGCTATGTAGATATTAGCAAAATCCAGGAATAGATGGAACATAGTCTTTAAGTTAAACCTGTGTTCCTGGCTCTCCCACTTAGAAGTTGTGTGAATGTTGACAAGTTAATTAACATAAACTGAAGTCTTGATTCCCTCATGTGTAAAAGGATGATAACCTGAGAAAAGTATTATTAAGATTAAAAGATAAAACAAGTA